ACCACACAGAAATTACTGAGCTTCAAAAGTACTTTGCCGCTGGCAGGATGGCGCATGCCTATAATCCCAGTGGCTAGAGAGGCTGAGGCAGGAGGATCGTGAGTTTAAAGCCAGGTTCACTAAGCAACTCAGTGAGACCCTGTCTCTAAATAAAATACAAAATAGGGCTGGGGATTTGGCTCAGTGATTGAGTGCCCCTGAGTTAAAAAAAAAAAAATGTACTTAGAGAACCCAAAGCAAGAATTCTTCCTTACCACCAGACATGCTGGAGAAAAATGTCTGGGAACCTCCTTGGAGGTGACATGGGCTGCTCTATTTTGGGTCCTGAGCCTTGCACAGAAGCACTCCAGGGTCTTTGCCTCACTGACTCCTGCAGCTAGATCTCCTGACAAATCAAGTCCACGTCCTGTGTCCATCAGTGCTCTCCTTTCTGACTGCTCAAGATTGCAAGGCATACAGGTGACAAGAACACGTTGCTCTCCTTTACCACAGTGTTTCCTGAGATCTAGTTGAGAACCTGGCTAGTCTCCATGTTTCAAAGAACCATTGTGCTCTTTGATTTGTCTAGGCAAAGGCCCAGCCTTGAAGACCCAGGTAAGGCTGGGCCTCTGTCCAGCCACCTCAATAGCAGAGACTGGTGGCTGCCATTTATAGGGTAGTTCTACATTCTTTCTGACTCCTACAACCCTGGTCAGCAGCCCCAACCTACCAGCCATGAAGTCTGGAATTAATTGCCACAGATGTGATATATCTGCCTCACTTTCCCTTTGTGACTAGATTCCCTCCTGTGAGACATTCAGCTGGCTCTTCTGAAACACTTCCCTTTGAGGGCTGGAATTTGCGCCCTTTATTCTCATCTGAGGTCCTTGCCTTCTTGCGATTAGTCCGACGGTGCAGAACCATGGAACTGATCCGTGCCTGACTTTGTCACCAGTGCTTTGAACCACCATGATCTCCACTAGCATCTGCAATGAAGGCCACGTTTGTGGCACTGTTTTAGATACTGTGCACCGAAATGACCATTTCCCCAGCCTCATCCTATCTTCTTCCTCATACCCCAGAGTCTCTTCTCTGACAACCCCTCATGCAAGCATTCATCACATTCAAGTCTGCCCTAGGATAGGTAGCCCATATCAAACTTGGCCACCCTTCCTGACTCTCCCAGTCAGGATATCATCCCACCTCCCCTCACTGGGGTCCCCTTAGCACATCTGTACTACCCTGGGAAACCTTTTTTCCTTTATATCACAGCTGCTTCTGTACCCGACATCATTTCTAAAGCATGAAAGCCAAGCACATTTCTTTTCTTCTTTGTATGCCTCTAAGGTCACATCTGTGCCAACTAGATCCTCAATCACTGCTTGCTAAAGAGACAAAGAAATAGTAGAAAAATGCTAAGTACAAATTAAATGGTATGGAATGGCCTCGCTGCCCCTCTGCCCCTCTGCTTTCAGCTTGCACATTGCCTCTAATGCTAATCGTTCCAAAGCACAGTCTTTCTCAGGTCAAAAGCAACCAGTAATTCCCACTGCCTATTGCAATAAATCCACATTCCTCATCCTAAATCAAACCTGCTCCCACCGGATCTGGCTGAAATCTGCCTGCCCAACCTTATCTCCTGACACTTCTTCCCCTAACACCACACATCCATCTCATAAGGGTCCATTTGTGCCTCCCCAATTTTTGTTTGTTTGTTTGTTTGTTTGATGCCTCAATTTCTTCATCCTGGATATTTTCTTCTTCTATTCCCATCTTGCCACTTAGTGCAGTTTGCTTATTGGCCTAGATGAAACTCAGTACTAAAATATTTTAGGATGAAAAATGTCATCATTTAAATGCTATGAGCAGATTTTGTCTGGCAAGAAATGAATCTTCCTAAGTCCTTTAGGGGGTAAACTGCATCCTTGTTTTGGGAAGCCATGAGGTTGGACAAATGAAAACAATGATTTATCCAAACTTCTCCAAGGGAAAAAATCAGAAAGTTTTGAAACTAGAGCTGGGTGTTTTTAGGTGGAGAAACTAAATGTTCTGTTTGGTAACAAACATAATGTGTACAGTTGTGTAGGAGTAAGGTTGAGAGGCAGAGAACATAACTGGAGTTGCAACAAATTTAGCTGATACTGTATCAGAACTTGATTTGTTTCTGAAGGATATGGGATTTCTTTATTGAGAAATGCTTGCTAATAATAATAGCAACCAGATGTTACAAATTTACTTTGTGCCAAGGGTGCCAAGGCGCAGATAAATTCTCAGGAGGATTAACTCCTACAATCCTTATAATAACTTTATGATTTTTCAGATAAAGAAAAGAAGAATCAGAGAAGGAGGCAGGGCCAAGATTTAAACACCAGGAGTTGAATTCCACAGCCTGTAATCTTAATTCCAACTATCAAAGATTTTGTTTTAGTTTTCTAAAAATCTCGTCCTTTAAAATTTTATTTCAGAATATGTTTCATAATTACTATAATAGTGTATGCTTATTCTTTGAGATTGCAAACTCAAAAAATTTTGTTGTAGGGATGTCAATATTTTGCTACTTTTAAAATACATTATCTTGCATTATTTGCATACTTCTCATATTCATAGGTCATATTTCAGGGAATCTGGAGTGTCCTTGAAGGAAAGAATTATGTTTTAAACTTCTACTTTATTTTCCACAGTAGGCCTAACTATAGCATCCCTAAATACTCACTGAACTGAATTAAATGAGTACTCTGCCAACCTTACTCTTGAGCAAGGCAAAGTTGGTGAAAATTGTTAGAAATATAGTAGATTTCTAGAGCTTCAGGGGAAGGCTGACATGGCTTCCAAGCTCCAAAAATAGAACAATACAACAATTTAAAAATAATTCTGCTGTACAAACATGAAAAATGTTACCTCAGGCCTCCAGAGGTGTATACTGGATTTGAGCTTTAAAACACCAAAGGAAGCAGTGTTTAATTTAGGGTTTTCCTGTCTAGGGATCTCAAGTTGCACAAGGGTAGAGATCAGTGCTGTGGAGATAGTTATAACCCATGCTTTGGCTCCCTCTGCCGGCAGAATGTAAGAGGTTGCTTTTTTCCTTGAAGAATTCTTGGTTCAGGTAGCATAGACTCTTGCTTAGAAAATTTGTCAAGCTCTTCTTTTATGAAATGGGAACTCAAAACCGACTTGATCTTTCTCCCTAGATGACAACTAAAATGCATTTCCATTCTTTTAACATTCTAACTTTGCTTTCTCTAAAGCCACACTCATTATAAACCGGTTATTATCAGAGGACTACCTAATATTTGTGCTGCTGTGACTTTCCCAGTCTTCTAATTGTAAGGTTTAAAAAGCACAACCTGATTGCTCACAGGATGCTTCACAAAAGCCTGGTTTTTACCACATTCTCTGCTAACTCTGTATGTGTGTGTGTTTGTGTGTGTGTATTTTCCATGACATAGACCAGGGACTTTGATCTCAACTAGTGCAAGAAATCAAATATCTAAAATTCTTTGTTTGATTCATGAAGTGGAATTAGGCACAAGCACATTTTCCCTTGGCATGTATTTTCCTTCCCAATTCCCCTTTCCAAGAATTTTTGTATGTGAGTCTGAATTGTTATTTAATCATGTTAATGATTTCTCAAAATTTGAGCTTTGACTCTAATGCCTCAAGCAGAATCCCTCTGTATGGTTTTCCCATAGGGACACTGGGCATCTCTTCCTCCTTTTGAGCTGTGAAAACCAGTTCCTGAGATGTCACAAGAGCCTGGCATGTTGCAGAGTTCAATAAAGATTTGTTTAAATAAATATGACTTAGAGCAGGATTCTTTTTTAAGGGTCAATTTTTTTGCCCATGTGAGAATTCCTCCAGCGAGTAATGCGAAGAAATTCATTCTATTAATTTTACAGGAGCTTACCAATTTTATGCATACAATACTTGTCAAGAAACTGTTTACATCAGGGTGGAATGAAATAGGTCTGGCATCAGTTAGGGCTCTACCACTTAATGTTTGCAGAGGCAATTCACCATTATAGTATTCTTGCACGTTCTTGTTGGGTGTGCCAAGAATGCAAGACTGATCACTCTTTCCTTGGGTCATTTCTCAGGGTTGTGTTTGCAGTGAGCAATCTTGAAGGATGAGGTAATGTCTCCTGGTGGAACAAAGAACAGGCTTGCTTACTGCTCACCATAACATAGTGGGTCCCCAAGCTCAGCATTCCTCTCTTATAATGGAAACCATTTTGTGTGCAAACACGCAACAGGGGCCCATATGCTTTGTTCCTGTGAGAACTGGGGTTCAAAAAACCAACATAAAGATGTTGACGATCTGGCTACTGCTTTTGCTGTACTTTCATCTCTGATCAACATGTGCTGTCAGCACTCACAAACTGTGAAAGCTAACACATTAGACCGCAAATAGAATAAAATTTGACTCTTCATAATTCTCCACACTCACTAGCTGGGTGTCCCTACGTGAGTCATTTAACTTCTTTTAACTGCAGTTTCTCTTCTTTATAAAGGGGTTTGATGGCAGTTTGCCTCTCTAAAAATGTAAAGATCCCCACTACACTAGACTCCTCCTGGGAATTCTCTTCCTCGCTTAAGTACACTGACAGAGACTGCTTATATGCCTGTTGACGCCGGGCGGGGTGGGGGTGGGGGAGCTCAGGAATACAGGGTGCGCCAGGGTTGATCCAGGTTTGGGAATAGAAGACTCAGACCAGCCTGCCGAGCGCGCCCCTCTGCAGCCCCGAGATTCCTACGTAGGCGGGGCCCGGAGAGAGGCACGCTGATTGGAGCAGGGGAGCCAGGGGTCTGGTCTGGCAGCGGCGGTTGCATAGCAACCTCAGTGCTTTTATTTAGATCACCTACTTCGAGTGGCTCCCGGGTCGTGCGGATGCGGATTAGTGGGGCACCGAAAGCCCGCTCCCTGCCCCCAGCCCAAGGTACCCCTGTCATTTTGTGACGATTGCGCCCTTCTGAGCAGCGGCGCCAGGCTCTCAGTGAATCTCCGCCGCCCGGGATCCCCGGGAAACCCCGCGAGCGCGCTCGGGCGCGCGCGCCCTCCGGCTGCACGCGCCCGCACACGCATGCTCCCCGAGCTCCCACGCGCGCGATCGTACTCGGGCTGCCGCCCACTCAGCTGCGTGTCCCGGGTGCGCGAGCTCCGAGCGGCTGCGCGGCACTCTTGGAGGTAGCTGCTGGCGCTGGAATAAGCTTTCGGAGGATTCTCGGATGCTGCGGCGCGGGGCGCGTCGCCCCCCTCAGTCCACCAGAGCCCGGATACCTCAGAAATTCGGCTCTGGGTCTGTGGGGAGCGAAATGCAACCCAAACCCCCTTTTTTTCCGAACCCCGCGCAAAAAAAAAAAAAAACACGCATAAGCACGCACACAGACGTCGCCACGGTCCCTGCGCGCCTCGGCAAGTCCTGGCCGCTGGCGGCGAGGGAAGAGCCGGGGCCCGAGAGGGGTCGCTGCCTGCGCCTCGCAGCCCGGGGGGCGGCCGCTGGGCATCACCGCTCACAGGTGCGACGTAAGTGCCTGGCGTCACCGGCCCGACTCAACGGCCGGCCAGGGCCTGCCTCTCCGCGGCCCCGGCCGGGCTGGAGCGGCCGCGGGAGAGACCTGGTAGGCGGGGACGCTTGGGGCAAGAAGGGGGCCGGGAGGAAAGGGCGCGACCGAGATTTGTGCGGCTTGCCCGGGGCGGGCCGAGACTCGGTCAGGCTGCCCTCACCCCCACCCGTTAGGACCGGCAGACGGCGGCCGCCCTTCGCTGGCCCGGCTCGCCGTTCTCGCGACGGGCACCGGCCGAGAAAGCCGGGCGCCCAGGTTTGGGGTGGCTGTCCAAGCTGGCTGTAGTCTGGGTGCAGCAGTCCCGCTCCAGCGGCAGAGACGACCAAAAGGGGCAGTGGGGAGGGCGCGGGGCCGTCGCCTCTGGCTTAACAGCGCAGATGCGCGGAGGCTCCAACAGGTGGCTCCGTGGCGCAATGGATAGCGCATTGGACTTCTAGAGGCTGAAGGCATTCAAAGGTTCCGGGTTCGAGTCCCGGCGGAGTCGTGGGTTTTTTTCCCCCCTGCCCACCATCCTTTCTTTTTTCCTCAACACCTTAATTTGCTTCCCAGACTCTGCTCTCTCCGCTCTGCGTGCGGTTCCTGCAGCCCTTTCGCCTTCAGCGGCTCGCGAGGTCGCGCGCTGGCACCACTCTGCAGCCTCGGCCGGGCCCAGCGGCCAATCCAGGGCCCGGGGAGAGCGGCCCGGACAGCGGAGCGGAGGGAGGCCACAGCCAGGCGAGGCCTTCGGTCCTGGCGGACACCCCCGTGGCCGGAGCGCGACAGTGGCCAGGAGAGAGGGGCGAGAAAACCCGTCGTTGTGCGGTTTCTGTCCCGCTCCGAGAGCTTCGAAATCCGCACGCCCCGGAATCCCGAGCGGGATCCTGTCAAAAACATAGATTTGTGGGCGCCCCTCTGGGACTCCAGTTGAGAGGAGCTGAGGCGGGGAACCCGCATTTTGGATGAAACCGCCCTCCCGCTCCGTGATTGTAGCGTCCGCCGGTCTCCGAGGCCCACTGTGCCCCTCTGCTCCTCCGGGTCAGGAATTACTACTCACTTGTACCGGTTTTTCGGACTCGAGCTTTGCCCAAGGTTAAGATTCCACCTCCCTAAAGGCGAATAAAACAAGGAACGAATGGAGATTTGAAAACTCATTGCCACAATGAAACAGGCTATTTATGCAAAAGATTTTTAAAAATCCAAAATTATCAAAGAGAGAAAAGGTACAGGGAGAAGTAAACATCTTTGTTATTCCTACATCCAACCTTGCTGCACGAGCCGTTAGTAATAACGTTTTCTTGGAAGTAGAGTCATATTTATTTCAGGCACATGTCCGCTCTTTTTGTATGTATGGTCATTCTGCTGGTCGTTATTGATATATGTGACATGCGTCCTTAAAGCATTTAATAGTTAGACTATACTTATTTCACTTAATACATGTAGGGCTGCCTTGTTCTTTGTGCATCATAAAGATTTAAGTCATTAATACTTGAATATTTAGGTGTTGGTTATTTTCCTATTGTATACAATGCTTCAGTGAACATCCTTATTTAATTGTACACAAGTGCAAGAATGTCTTTAGGATAGGTTCCTAGGAAGCTGAATTGTTGGCCCAAAGATTTGTTCTGCATTTGCAGTCGGTGTATTCTTTAATAGTTATTGGCACATTGCCCTCATAGAGATTATACCCATTTTTCTCCCAGCAATGCTAAGTGAGAATGCCTGTTTCCCCTGCACACCATGTTATCAAACAGGAGAAAAATGGTTTCTAGTTGTAGTTTTAACTCATGTCTTTTGTTATGCTTAAACTAAGCATCTTTTCATACAAGGATAATTTGTGTTTTCCGTTCTTGAGCTATGCCTTTTTTTTTTTTTTGGTACCAGGGATTGAACCAGGCATGCTTAACCTCTGAGCCACGTCACCAACCCCCCCTTCTTTTAATTTTTTTTTTTTTTTTAATCAGGGTCTCGCTAAGTTACTGAGGCTGGCTTTGAATTTGTAATCCTCCTACCTCAGTCTTCTGAGCCTGAGATTACAGGCATGCACCACCATACCTGGCAAGAAAGTAATTTTTTAAAATTACTTTGTAGGAGTTCTTTACACATTAAGGAAAAGAGCCCTTTGTGGTATGTTCCAGTATTTCTTTTCATCTACTGATTTTGCTTCTGATATTTATCTTGTTTATCTGTCTTGCAGAAATGTATATATTTGAATTTATCAATCTTTTCTGACGTCTACATTTGAAGGTCATACTACACTCAGATTATTAAATGCTGTCCTTTTAATGGTTTTATTTTTATGTTTTTTTTTTTTTTAGATGTTGATGGACCTTTATTTTATTTATTTATATGTGGTGCTGAAAATTGAACCCAGTGCCTCACACATGCTAGGGAAGTGCTCTACCACTGAGCTACAGCCCCAGCCCTGTTTTTATGTTTTGTTTTTAAATATTTGCTTAATCCAGTATTTTTCTGTAAGGGGTGAAGTGGGAGTGTTGTTCCAGATAATCACTGATGATGAACCCTCCTCCTTTATTACATCAATTTTATTTTTTTCCAGTACTGGGGTTAGAACTCAGGGATACTCTATCAGTGAGCTATATCCCCATCCCTTTTTAGTTTTGATTTTGAGATAGGGTCTTGCTAATGTCTTGCTGAGGCTGGCCTCAAATTTGGGGTCCTCAGCCTTCCTAGTCACTGGAATTATAGATGTCTGCCACTGTGGCAGGCTGTAACTAATTCAAAATACCACTTTCATTATTTTCTAAATTCCCACATGAATTTGGGCTTTTGGATTATTTCACTGATCTAAATTTTTAAATTCATTTTAAAATCTAGTGGAATCAGTCCTCTCTTATCCCCTTTAAAAAAGATCTTTCTGCCTAGTTTTATTTAGAATAATTATAATACTTAATATAAAGTAATTGTTCAAGGATACACAGCTGATAAGCTATAAGCCTGAATGGGAACCCAGGACACCAAGGTCTACAGGTAAACCCTCAATTCTGTGTTATTTTTCTCACATGAGCTTTAATTATAGTGAGTAGGAGATGATATTATTGAAGTCATACTGTCCATCAATATAGGGAGAATTGGACTAATTAGGATGTTGAATCTTTGTCTTTAAGAACTTTGGGAGGGAGAAAAGTATGCCATTTTATTTATTCAGCCCTTCTGGGCACTTTAGTGTCAGTTTTCCTTCATCTAGTTCTTGACTTTTTTTGGTTAACTGTACTCTTATCCTTTTTTGTTTGTTTGTTTTGATAATGGAGATTGAATCCAGAAGTACTTTTCCACTGAGCTACATCCCCCAGCCACCACCCTAGTCCTCTTTCTTGAGACAGGGTCTTGATATGTTATCCAGGCCTCAAATATGGGATCCTTTTGCTTCAACCTCCTGAGTTGCTGGGATTACAAGTGTGTGCCACTAAACCCAATTTAGTTTATAGTTTTTATTGGGATATTTTCTTTCATTATATTCTTTAACAGGTTGTTGTTTTTATATATAAGAAAGCATTTGGTGTTTTAAAAAATAATTTTATATTCAATCATCTTATTGGATTATTTTATTACTATTTAAAATAGTTTTTCATTTCAAACCATGATGTGATACCACTTCACACCCACTAGGATGGTTATATTAAGAAAGACAAATGGCAGTTATTAAGAATATAAGCAACAATAATTGGTGGTGAGGATGTGGGGAAAGTTACACTCTTACATTGCTGGTGGGACTGCAAATTGGTACACCCAATCTGGAAATCAGTATGGAGATTCCTTAGAAAACTTGGAACGGCATTTTATTCAGCTATCCCACTACTCGGTTTATACCCCAAGGACTTAAAAACAGCATACTACAGTGAGGCAGCCATGTCAATGTTCATAGCAGTACAATTTACAATAGATAAATTGTGGAACCAATCTAGATGCCCTTCAATAGATGGATGGATAAGGAAACTGTGGTATCTATACACAAGGAATATTACTCAGCATTAAAAAAGAATAAAATCATGGTATTTGCAGGTAAATGGATGAAGTTGGAGAATATAATGCTAAGAGAAGTTAGCCAATCCCCAAAACCTAGAGGCCGAATGTTTCCTCTGATAAGTGGATGCTGATCCATAATGGGGGTGGGAGGAGGAGCTTGGGATGAATGAAGGAACTCTGGATAGGGCAAAGCAGAGGGAGAGGAAGAGAGGGGGCAGAAGGGTAGGAGAGATGGTGGAATGAGATGGACATCATTACCCTAGGTACATGTATGATGACACAAATGGTATGTGTACATTGTGTACAACCAGAGAAATGAAAAATTGTGCTCTATTTGTGTACTATGAATTGAAATGCATTCCACTGTCATATATAACAAACCAGAACAAATAAATAAATTCATTTAAAAAAGAAAGATTATACAAATCTTGAAAAGCATTGAAACCCTTATATATTGCTAGTGGATATGTAAAATGATGCAGTCTATTGTTAAACAGTTTGGTAATTCCTCAAAAAGTTAAAACATTACAGTTACCTTGTTATTGTGTCAATCCATTCCTAAGTATATACCCAATAGAATTTAAAACATATGTCCACACAAAAATTTGCACAAGAATGTCATTAGTAGCATTGTTTTTAATAGCCAGGAGTAGAAATAACCCAATGTCCACCAGCTGATCAATGGATGAACAAGATGTAGTGTATCTTTCTGGTGGAATATTATTCTGCAATCAAAAGGAATGAAGTGCTGATTCATGTTACATAAATCTTGAAAACATTATACTAAGTAAAATAATCTAGTCACAAATGACCACATATTATATGATTCCTTTTAAATGAAATGTCCAAATTAGGCAAATTCATAGGAGTTAGTCATCATCAGGGCTTGGGGTGGGGAAACGTGAAGTGACCAATAATGTATATGGGGTTTAATTTTGGGGTCATGAGAATGTTCTGGAAATAGTTTGGTAGTTGCATAACTTAGAATATATGAAAATTCACTGATTTGTACACTTCTTAAAGGTATGAATTTTATGGTGAATTATATATTTATTTAAAAAATGAAAAAAAATACTTTTTCAGTTGACAAATTTGTTTTCTGAAATATTCTATCCACAAATTATGATGGTTTTATTTTCTCCTTTCTAAGTTTTATGCCTCATATTGTTTCTCTTATAATAGAATCAGCTGGTGTGTCCATACAGTGTTAATTGTTTATGATAATGTTGATAATGAACTTCCTTGACATGTTTCTGCTCATTAAAGGAGTGCTTTTCCAGTAAACATGATGCTGGCTTCTGAGATTGGTATGCAAGTGCAAACACACATGCACTCACATACGCATAGATTTTATCACATTAGTAAGATCCCACTGGTATTTCTCTGCATTCCTGAAACAATTTTTAGTTATTTTTTTTTTTGTACTAGAAAATGCAGGCAGTGTTTCCACAAAAATAACTGTACAGTGATTTGAAGTACAATAAATGAGGGCAATGCATGGCCTTCCAATAAAAGATATTTGAAGATGAGAGAGAGAGAGAGAGAGAGAGAGAGAGAGAGAGAGATCCCACTGGATTTGGTGGTGCACACTTGTAATTCCAGTGACTCTGGAGGCTGAGACAGGAGGATCACAAGTTCAAGGCCACCCTCAGCAATTCAGTGAATCACTAAGCAACTTATGGAGACCCTGTCTCAAAATAAAAAATAAAAAGGGATGGGGATGTGGTCAGTATTAAGTGACCTTAGGTTCAGTTCCTAGTACCAAAAAAAAAAAAAAAAGAAAATCCCTGTTAATCTTTGGAACTAATCTGTGTCATTTATTATGATTTTTTTCAAATACTCAGCTCTTTTTATAGAT